ATGAGAATGGGCACACCCGTTGTCTGACACAACTATAATGGCACCACTGATAAGTCATAATATTTTATAGTCTGGAGGACTCTGAACCTGACAGATACATTTTTGTACACCCACACATTCCTCACTACTGCACTTAACATGTCACAAAAATTTTTAAATGATTAAAAATGCTCCCTTTTACTAACATAAGGGCAGCTATTATTACTCATTGTTATTACTAATATTCTCAAAAATTTATCAGAGAGTGTATAACGTGACTTAAAACGAATGGGAGCAGGTTCACAAACTTTTTTCATTCACTACTATGAAATAACTCTTATCTTTAAAAGGTACCATCGAACAAAATTAAAAACAGAGTTCTTTTCAATTGCTGGAAATTAAATTTAGCTAACTACTTTCAGGATGAAGACAATTGCATCTAATTAAGTCCACTCTACATCCCTTTGGATTCCAAGTAGTCTGCACCTGAAGGCCAAATTGCGCTGATTCTAGTGTATCTTTTTACCACATCTTTTAATTGCAAATCTATTTCTTCCTCCTTTCATTTATGTCTCTTCTCATATGCAAGAAATGAGGGAAATGAGACTGACATTTTTATTTGTTTGCTTTAGTGATCATTGAGAGTTGTTGCCATATGATATCTTCCTAGTAGCACACCTGTGAAGTTTTACTGCAACAGCTCAAATTTAGTGGTTATAAGAGAAAAGCACAAGGAAGCTTCGAGAAGTAGGAGGGGAAGCAATTGGCAAGAGAGTTTCCAGGAAATGGTCTTGTAAAATATCAAAACAAAAATATTTTCACTTTTGGAGGAAAAAAGTAACATTTTACCAAAAAACAATATTTTATGCTCTTTTTCCTGACTCTAAAGGAACTAAAGTTTGCCATTGTTTGGCTGGCTTGAGGTTTTGCAGAGCAAGTTGTTATCTTGGTAGAACTCAAGGTCAAGTTGGAGATGATGATGCTTGGCACTATGTGGCACCTCAGTTAGCTAGTTCCTCCTCTTCTTCTGATACTAGTGCAAGCTCTTACACAGTTACAGAGGAGAGGGAAGTCTCACTGGCTCAGGTGTCATTGACCCAAATGGTGTGTTTGGTTCATTCCTGACAGAGTGACAGAGGAGCTCTCTGTTTGGGATCAATTGCCTACTTTGAGTTCTCTGTGCTTTTTATGTAATAATTCTGACATGTAAAAAAATCTAAGTCTTTTTTGTGTATGATTTGTTTAAAAGTTTACAGAGTAAACTTTTCTATTCAGCAGTTGATGCACACTGGTTTGTGACATTGAGTGTGATCCCTACAATTAAAGACAACTCTTTTCACTGTCTCCATATGTTTGCCATCCCTGTTTGTAATTTTTTCCTATTTCTTCCGAGCTTCTGAATCTTGTACTTAGGTTATGTTCCTCCTTAATGTTATTATCACCTTTTATATCTGCTAAAATATATTCGATGTATTAACTGAAAGTTGAGGCATTGATTCCAGTTTCATTGTAGGTCTGAAGGGCCATGGTTTTGAGGATTTCACCAGACTTTTTCAGACCAGTTGATCTTGTACTTTTCATTATTCTAACTCACTTCTTTGATAAAAATTGATTCTACAAAAAAGAACAAAAACAACTGTGCTACAGAAACACATCATTAAAAGTGATCTTGGTTGTGGGTTGTTTTAGATCCTACAGCTTACTTCTCACCCTAATAAAAACAAACCTGTGAAATGTGTGCTCTAGCATGAGACCAAAACATCAGAGAAGGGAAAGAGGCTCAGGCTTCTAATTGACATCATGTCTTACCATTTTGTTGCTTAGTTGAGTACAATTGGAACAGAAAAAGTAGGTTCAAGTCTTATTGCATGAATATGTGCACATTTAGATACGTTTCTATGTACCCCTTTCAAGAAATATAAGGAAGAATACAACTAAACACATGTATTTAATCTTACAGAGCACTCACTCAGGCACAGGACATCGAACTACTAAATACTCCCTTGACTAGAGATGTAACGTAGAAGTACTTATAAAGAGCTATAGGTTTCTATTTGTGCCATACTCTGCACTGGTACCCAGTGCAAGATTATCCAACTGACCTTATCATACAGACCTTCAACAAATATGAATTTGAAAAGACATGGGTACGTGTGGGCATTGCCTTTGATAAACACTTGTTTTTCTGTTTCAAAGCATTAAAGAACTGCCACTATCACATTGAGCTTTTTCCACTGAAGTATCCTAAACAAATTGAAGTTGGAGGACATCTACTATGAAAAGAATAATTTTCATTCATTCCATTTTTGTCACCTCTGACCTTATTACCTTAAGTAACTTTGCCTTCTTGATCCCAGAATATGCAAAGCGGCTAAGGGTTTTACTTTCTCTGAAACATAATGATATATGGTGCTTCCTGAGTTCGGTGGAAGATGTAGCACAGAGTTCTGCATTAATTTTGTGACCAGGTGTCTTGAGTTTGAAGGACATCGATAACCCTCTTGGCCAAAAGAAGAATGACTGTTTTACTCTAGAAAATTTAGAATATAGAACACAGGCAGCTGGTATATTTCAAGCACTGTATTCTCAAAGACCATCCTCTGCACATAAACTCCACATTTTTTACTTCAAACTAACACATTTATTACAAGTAGAACACTCAAATGGCACATTACATTCTCACATAATACCTGACACCATTTCATTCCAGGTAGACCTAAAATATTTGTGTCTGACCTTTAGTTCTCACTTCATACCTACTCATGTCCCAGTATTTGGAATGGATATGCTGCTTTGGGCACATCATTCATGTTCTCAGAATTTGGTTCCTGGCAACTGATTGGGAAATGCAGATGTCAGTATACTGCTGGCAAATCTAGTGTGAATTTTGCATGTGCCAGCTTAAACACCTGTGACAGCACCTAGCTTTTTAGATGTCAAGACAAGTTGCATGTCCGTGTGTGTGGAGTGAAAGCTTATGTGTGTGCTTGTATGGGTGCATGAGTGCGTGTATGTGTAAGAAGAGCAATTAAATGTAAGGAAGTGGGATTCTGTGGAGTTTGTGTTTGAATTTTGAGCCTGATATTTTCCAACTGTGAGCAGAAGAGACCTATGAGGAAATCATTGTTGGTGCTTCTTTCTTGCCCTGTTTAGGAGATTATTCTCTAAAAATGGAGAAAGAGGGGCAGAGCTCTTTGTGACTTCCACTGCCATTCTTTCTAGATAATAGACCCTCTACTTGACTGAGTCCTTCCTCTCCTGGGAGACAGTAAAGATGTATAAAGTCAGCACTTGCTGGTAAACTGGATCTATTTTAATCATTGACCAATCCCCCCACCCCTGCACCCCAACAATCACATAACAAAACAAAACCATCAAACTCATTTACTGCGAGTTGAAACTGACTTATGTGTGACATGTGGGTTTTCAAGAGGCTGCAAATTGACTACATGGGAGGACATTGTCTGTCTCACTCAGTGTGGCTTTAGGATTCAGATCACCAGAGGGATTAGCAGTGCTAATCTCCATGGCCTACACACTGAGAGCTAGTAAAAGTCTATTAAGATGTCATTGAGAAAGAAGCTTGTATCCAAGGAAATTGTGTGTAACTTACACTCCCCTCTTTATGTTTGCACTGCTGTATTAATCAAGTGCTTGGAAATTAAATCAGTTGCTCAAGTGCCATCAGCTCAGAAGAGCTTCCTGAAACAAATACCAAAGTTGTCAACACACCCACCATGCAATTGGCCTCTATCAGCTTGATCAGCTTTGTACTAAAGAGTATTCTAACAGATTCTACCATAACTAGAGCAGAGAGCTGATACCACTATACTCAGGCAAGTGGGCTTACGTCTTCCAATTGCAGAGCTAAGTGAGTGTGTTCAGGTATAGAAATGTTTTGTTACACTATTCTTATTAAGGAAAACCAATCCTGAGCAAATCCTGACATGTGCTTTCTTGAATAGCTTAGAAAAGTCTGAATGTTGACACCTTGGTGCATCAAATAGAAAATACTGCTCAAAGCTTTTCTGGGACTTTTCTGTTTCCCAAAAGGAGGTTCTTGTAAACACAGTCTCCTCTGGGAATAGCAAGTAAGTGATCATTAGCTTGGTATTTTGGTCCATCAGGTAACTGAGTCCTCTTTGGTAGAAAAGATACCACATTCCAAAGAGGTCATTGCACAAGGTATTGCTTTTCTATGTTGTTAGCCTATGATACCATTGGCTTTCACATGAGAAGCTGATGGGTAAATTGGAAGATGTTATGCCTGGTGATAGTAAAAGAGAAATGAATAGAATATGAACAACAAAATCTGATTAGAGAGTAGATAGTTGTGAGAAAATAAATAGAAAGAATATCAGATAATTACAGGGGAAGATTGGTAGACTAAATGTATTGCTAGAGAGGAAATAGGGAGATAGATAATTAGAATGACAGAAAAATTAAAAATTGAGTGAGTAGATAGCCATATAGTTACTTTGTTATATTGATAACATAAAAAATCAACCATATATCAATGATGTTTTGTGATTTGGTCTGCATTGTTTTACAGAGAGTCTCTATTTAAAGATGCCTTCTCTCATTTGGTTATAAGTTTCGCATTTTCAATTTTCACTTGTATGCTAAGCTCCGTACTTCTCATTTCTGCTGCTAGTGGAGGAAACAGGTAGACCTGAGTGGTTAGAGGAGATGACATGATTTTATATAGAGATCTATACATATGTATACTTAGGAGTGTGTGAGTGTGTGTGTGTGTGTGTGTGTGTGTGTGTGTGTATGCATTGAGATAACTTCCAAGAAAGAAATTATGTGAACCATAAAGCAATTAGATAGTAATAAAGTTGGTAAGGGGATATGTACACGATATTCAGGAAAACGTTCCACATCTTAGAAGATACAATTAGATGTAACTCTCACTGTGCACTACATCAGCCAAGATCCGTGGTTAGGGTATTTTGCATGAGGCACAGTTTTTGGATTTTGGGGTTTCTTTTTTTCTTCCTCAAAAGTAAATGGTTTGGTGTGGATGGGATTGATGGGAGTAGTGATGGGGAAAGAAGCAGGGAAGGGCCAAGGTAGCAGGAGCAGATTCCATTTTTTTAACACACCAATGAATTATTATCCTACACACACAGAACCCTGCCCACCCCTCCCTCAACCCAATTCATTCAAGCTGGAAAAATGTCAAATAAACAAACTAAAACAAAACAAGAACAGAAATAATTAAAAAAAGCTCAAACTAGTTTGCCTTCCACAGTATAAAGTCTGTGGTTTGGAGAAGCAGGTGTTGTTCAGATGACCAATGGTTTCTTATCAAAACTTGATGAAGAAGTGGGCAAAGAGGGTGCCTGCCAGCCAGAGACAAGCCAGTGCTCTAGAGGCAGAGTTTACACCATCAATCACTGCTCCGGGCCCTGTGTAGGGAGAGAAAGACAGACCATTAGCATTCACTGAAGTTTACACAACTATCCACTGACAAGCAGATGCATGGACATGCTTCCCTGTGAGCATTCTCCCATCTCTCACCTTGCCACATCCCCACCCTTCCACCTCCAAGTGTGAAGAACAGTAAGTGCTCAATAAAATACTCTTATAAACACTAATGGCCAGATCACTGGTGTCTTGAACATTATAGGATCTTCTGCAAATCTGGAACATGAAGAAGGAAAAAAAATGGAAGTGGAATACTGAACGGGGTTACTTTGGTGTGGGTCAAAATAGTTAGACAGCTGACAGGGTTAAATGTGGCACAATCTAGGTGTCATTTCATGAATTGTGATTCAATTGGGCTTGCACATTAGGTAAAGAAGGGGAAACAGAGGATAGAGAGGTTCCAGAGTGTCCATGTGAAAAAGAGAGGCAACAGGAGCCTAGATTCTAACATGATAGGCTTTTTCAAGCTTGCCTGTGTGACTTAGGTATTGCAGAGGCTGCCCTTGAAACAGCTGATAAAGAAGGTTTTAGCAACTAAAGAGTTTTGACAACTGTTATTGGGTTTTCTTCAGAGGTCACTGGTGTCTCAATGTACATGCTCAGTCCAAAACACCATCTACTTATTCTGCCTCAAGTGGTCCTCCCTGTATACTCTCTTGTCCTCTTCCCTTTTCCACAGATGTAATGTATCATCCACATTTAATTTGAATTAGGCCTATGGAATCACAAGGGCTGGTCCTCTCTCTCCATACAGTAAGTTTCCAAAAGACAGACAGTTTGAGTGTGATTTCCCTAGCCTGGTCAGAAAGCCCAGAGAAGGTGTATTAATGAGTTTTTTCATAGCATTTATTGGAAAGCCACAGAATAAAAAGTCTTACAAAATAGCATTAGACAGCGAAAAGGATGTGATCTTAAAGAAAGTAAAACTGATTACAGTCAAGAGATAAAAGTTGACCAGAGGCCATCCTATCTACCTACCAGTGCAGTTTTGCAATCAAGGCCAGCATGCTTCTTCTGTCACTCAGTCAGTGCATCCATGCTTCTCTTATGAGTACTTTGTCTATCTGTAAATCAGCATGATTGCTCTAAAAGAGGTGGTAATAAACAGGCAGCTCCCCTAACCTAAGTCAGTTAGCATGCTGTTCACCCAGTGATGTGAACCCATGCCTTACCAGAAGGATGCTAACATATTGCTAAGAAACATATAGACCTCTCCCTTCAGCAATGAGTAATAGCCATACTGGCACTATTTCTTCTGATTTTCAATATATTTCATGCTCTTATTAGCTAAGATCTCCTGTTTACTTGATTGCTTGAAGACCTGGTTCATACAGCTATTTATTTTGTTTTGGACTTCTACCACCAAGGTCAGGATTTCAGTATAATGCTATGGGTTTGTCCGAATCTTCAAATGTGTGTGAAAAGTAGCTCGACTCTAGGGCTTATGCTAACCCAGAAATAAGTTAAAGAAATCATACAGGACTACAGAGTGTACTGAGTTGGAAATGTTCCTGGTTGAGATTTAAGGCCATTTACCACATTGAGTAATTAATCTGAAAGATATGAATGAGTTTGATTTTTAAGTACATTTACAAACAAAGGGACAATAAATGTTTGTAAGGTCTTTTTAAAAAAAGCAAATTTCATGTATGTTCATAATATTCATGATAAATTACATATATACATTGACACATATTACATATGTGTGCGGCACATATATGACAAGTTATATGTGCACATATATGAATATATATATATATAATCACAAACTTTAGGCATGTTTCTAGGAGGGGCTATTCCTTGGAGAGGAACATGATGCTAGGAAGGGTGGAGAGTTGGCAAAGGAGAGGAAGACTCTGAATCAGGTGGATTGGCATGATGACTGCCACAATGGGCTCTTGTGTGTCAGGAAGTGTGAGGATGATGCAGGATAGAACAAGGATCAGATAATTTGTTCTCAGGGTCACTATGAGTCATGCTGGACTGGATGGCACCTAACAACAACAACAACATATATGACAAATTATATAAGGAAACTTTGGTGGCCTAGTGGTTAGGAGTTGCACTGACAATCTGAAGGAATAAAGTTTAAATCTACCAACCATTTGGAGGGAGAAAGATGGACACTCTCCCTCTAATTAATTTAATGCCTCTGAAAATCTACTGGAGGGTCAGCTAGAAGTTAGATCTCACTTGCAAGCACATAACAACAATATGTGTATATACATCCACATACATGTACATATGTGTATATTAAAGCAGTCCTTGCTCCATATCTAGTCAATCTGTACGCTAAGCAAATAATGTGAGAAGCTGGACTATGTGAAGAAGAATGTGCCATCAGCATTGGAAGAAGACTCATCAACAACCTACAATATGTACATGTCACAATTTTGCTGCTGAAAATGATAAGGACTTCAACATTTGATGCAAAAGATCAAAGAACACTGTTTTCAATATTAATTGTGTCTTGGACATCAGGAAAATAAAAATACTTACCACTGGATCAATAGGCAACATCATGATAGATGCTAAAAAGACTGAAGCTGTCAATGGTTTAGTCTTACATTGATTCACAATCAACACCTTTTGTAGAAGAAGTCAAGAAATTAAAGGAAGTGTAGCATTGAAAAAGTCTGCTATTAGGGATATCTCCAAAGTTCTAAAGAACATCAATTTAAAGACTAAAGTGCGCCTGATTTAACCCATAGTCTTGTCAATTACTTGCTATGCATCGTAAAGTTGGACAATGAATACAAACTATGGAGAAGAATTGATGTTTTTGAGTTGTGGTGTTGAAGAGTACTGAATATCCATTCCATGGACCGTCAAAAGACAAATTAATACATCTTTGAAAAAGTGTAGCCAGAATGCTCTATAGAGGCAAGGATGGTGGAATTTCATCAGACATACTTAGGACATATTATTAGAAAAGACCAGTCCTTGGAAAAAAGACAGACTTGGAAAGTTTGAGGGCCAGTGGAGATGAAAACTCTCAGCAAAAAGAATTGACACAGTGACTCTAGCAATGGGCTCAAGTATATCAGAGCTGATGAAGATAGCATAAGATAGGGCAAGGTTCAGATTTGTTATTCATAGTGTCACTACGAGTCATAGCCAACTTGACAGGAACCTAAAAATAACAACAACTATGTTGATGGTGATTTAATAAACAATTGGAGGACTAGCATATTCTCTCTAGAGAGGGAAATGTCCTTAATGTAGGAATCATATTTTTCCAAAGTTACCAGTGAAATTAGTGTTTCTGTGACTAGCAGACTGTCAGTACAAGGTCAGATACAGCTAAAGAAAGTAGAGGATCTATATCTATATCTATATCTATATCTATATCTATATCTATATCTATATCTATATCATCTATCTATCTCTATCTCTATCTCTATCTCTATCT